GCAGTCTTGTATAGTTATCTTCTTTTATTGTTTTATTGTTATTCCAGATCCAATTTTATTTGTTTTAGCAGTCTTATATAGTTATCTTCTTTTATTGTTACACATCTTGATGTTAGATAAATTCCCAAATATTTGACTTTTTAACTATTTGAAGATTTGTTCTTTTTGTTAGATGACTTTTTTTTGTTTTTCTGTTAGATTCTTTGTTAGCACTTTAGTCTTTTCCCTGTTTATTTTCAACCCTGCCACTTCTCCAAATTTTTCTATTTTCTCCATAAGTTTAGTGCTTGTTTCCAATGGATCTTCCAACATAAAAACCAAGTGATCTGCAAATGCTTGTAGTTTATATTTTTCATCTTTTATCTTTAGTCTTTTAATTTCTATATCTTGTCTGATATTTCTGTTCAATACTTCCAGTGTTAGTAAAAATAGTAATGGAGATAGTGGACATCTCTGTCTTATGCCTTTTTTAATATTAAAGTTTTATGTAAAATCTCCATTTACAATTATTTTGGCTGTTTGTTTATGATAAATTGTTTTAATTACATTTATAAAGTTTTCTCCAAAGCCCATTTCTGCAAGTTGCTGAAACATAAATTGCCAGTTTACATTGTCAAAATCTTTCTATGCATCAAGGAATATTAAAGCCATCTGTTTCTCTGGATGAATTTCATAGTATCCTAACATATCAAGAATCATTCTTAAATTATTTTTTATCTGTCTTTCAGGTAGAAAACTATTTTGGTCTGTATGTATAAATTCGATCAAAAATTTATTTAGTCTTTCTGCTATTATTGAGGCAAAAATTGTATAGTCTACATTTAATAGTGATATTGGTCTATAATTTTTTATTTGCATTAGATCAGAATCTTCTTTGAGTATTAAAGTAATGTTGGCCTCAGTCCATTTATTTGGTATTTTAGCCTCTAGGAGTATTTCATTATACAGTTCTTTCAAAGTAGGACTTAATACATCTTGTAATGATTTATAAAACTCTGCAGGTAATCCATTTTACCATTTTTTTGCCTTTTTATAGCCTCTATAATCTCCATCATTGACATTTTTCCATTTAGAGGGTTTCCGGTGACCTCGCTGCAAGATAGGCACTGGGGAATGAAGCTCCATTCCCGAAGCCCGATTTCTATCAGCTGGGGAGTCTGCTTATAGTTCAGGTGGGAGGGGGTAAGGAAAAAAGCCCCCCCTCCCTGGAGCTTGGGGATTTCTTGCTTTTGAATGCTTTTTCCCAGAACTGGTATTTTCGCTTGTAGAGAGATAAAGAAAGTAGTCTCACTCGGATCAGCTGTTTTGCTTTCTGCTTTTAGAATTCATTGTCTCCGATGATCAGCTCCTTCTTGTTGACTGCATGGATGCGGTCAGCCTTTCTTCCTGCCAGTCCTGAGGGCTCCTTTGGATCAAGTTGGCCAGCTACTGCTGGCCCGCAATCTGCAAAGTTTCACCCTTTGGCCAGTTGCCTCTAGGGAGTGACTTTCCATCCTATTGGACTCCCCAGCTGCTAGAAATCAGGCTTGGGGAACGAAGCTTCATTCCCCAGTGCCCAACTTGCAGTGATGTCACTGGAAACTCTCTGGGTTTTTCTTTTTTCTCGTCTCTGCCTACCTCACTGTTTGATTTGTTTTCTTGGGATTTATGATTGGTTTTGGGTTCTAGAATTTCTAAAGATTTGTTACCTTCCCCCCTCAATTTTAGTTTAAAGCCCTCCTGATGAGTTGGGCCAGTCTTTTTCAGAGTACACTTTTCCCTGTTTTTGCGAGGTGCAGCCCATCCCTTGCTAAGAGTCCTTCATGTAGTCCATCGTTCAAGAAACCAAAGTTTTCTTGGCGACACCAACTCTTTAGCCAGTGATTATTTCTAGAATTCTTTTTTTTTTCTCAGTGGGGGTTGGCCTTTTGTTGGTAGTACTGATGAGAACATTACTTATGCTCCTAGCTTCTTAAGTTTATCATCTAGTTCAGTGGTTCTCAACCTTCCTAATGTATTAAACCACCCTTTAATACAGTTCCTCATGTTGTGGTGACCCCCAACGATAAAATTATTTTCGTTGCTACTTCATAACTGTAATTTTGCTACTGTTATGAATCGTAATGTAAATATCTGATATGCAGGGTGTATTTTTATTGTTACGAATTGAACATAATTAAAGCATAGTGATTCATCACAAAAACAATATAGTAATGCTCGCTGGAGAAGCTTGCTCTTCCTTGCTCAAAAATGTTGGGAGGGAGGGAAGGGGAAGGAAGGAAGATTGAAGGGGAAAGGAAAGAGATGGAGAAGGAAGGAGATTGAAGGGGAAAGGAAGGAAGGTAGGAGAAAGAGATTGAAGGGGAAGGGATGGAGATGGAGATGGAAGGAAGGAAGGAAGATTGAAGGGCAAAGGAAGGAGATTGAAGGGGAAAGGAAGGAAGGAAGATTGAAGGGGAAAGGAAGGAGATGGAGAAGGAAGGAGATTGAAGGGGGAAGGAAGGAAGGAGAGAGAGAGAGATTGAAGGGGGGAGGCGCTGCCAAGGACGCACAAGCAGCTCCGCACAATTGCCTGGGGGGGGGAGGAGGCTCTGGCGGAGAGCCTGGTGGAGAGCCAAGTGGCAGCACATCCGGGGCCTCGGAAGCTGTGTGGAGGATCCACATGCCTCAGAGCTGCCGGCCGCCCTCTCACACCCGCCAAGGGATGGAGATCGAGATGGAAGGAAGAAAGGAAGGTTGAAGGGGAAAGGAAAGAGATGAAGAAGGAAGGAAGATTGAAGGGGAAAGGAAGGAGATGGAGAAGGAAGGAGATTGAAGGGGGAAGGAAGGAAGGAAGGAAGGAAGGAAGGAAGGAAGGAAGGAGAGAGAGATTGAAGGGGAAGGGATGGAGATAGAAGGAAGGAAGGAAGATTGAAGGGGAAAGGAAGGAGATGGACAAGGAAGGAGATTGAAGGGGGAAGGAAGGAAGGAAGGAAGGAAGGAAGGAAGGAAGGAAGGAAGGAAGGAAGGAAGGAAGGAGAGAGAGATTGAAGGGGGGAGATGCTACTAAGGACGCACAAGCAGCTTTGCACAGTTGCCTGGGGGGGAGGCTCTGACAGACAGCCTGGTGGAGAGCCAAGCAGTGGCACATCCGGGGCCTCGGAAGCTGTGTGGAGGATCCACATGCCTCGGAGCTGCCAGTCGCCCTCTCACACCCGCCAAGGGATGGAGATGGAGATGGAAGGAAGGAAGGAAGGTTGAAGGGGAAAGGAAAGAGATGGAGAAGGAAGGAAGATTGAACAGGAAAGGAAGGAGATGGAGAAGGAAGGAGATTGAAGGGGGAAGGAAGGAAGGAAGGAAGGGAGGAAGGAAGGAAGGAAGGAAGGAAGGAAGGAAGGAAGGAAGGAAGGAAGGAAAGAGAGATTGAAGGGGAAGGGATGGAGATGGAAGGAAGGAAGATTGAAGGGGAAAGGAAGGAGATTGAAAGGGAAAGGAAGGAGATGGACAAGGAAGGAGATTGAAGAGGGAAGGAAGGAAGGAAGGAAGGAAGGAAGGAAGGAAGGAGATGGAGATTGAAGGGGAAGGGATGGAGTTGGAGATGGAAGGAAGGAAGGAAGATTGAAGGGGAAAGGAAGGAGATGGAGAAGGAAGGAGATTGAAGGGGGGAGGCGCTGCCAAGGACGCACAAGCAGCTCCGCACAATTGCCCAGGGAGGGGGGGAGGCTTTGGCGGAGAGCCTGGTGGAGAGCCAAGAGGTGGCACATCCAGGGCCTCGGAAGCTGCACGGAGGATCCATGTGCTTCAGAGCTGCCAGCTGCCCTCTCACACCCGCCAACCTGGAGCCCCCATCCTCATCCCAGCACCTCTTGCCCTCTCCCAGCCGCCCCTCAGGACCTGCCCACCCCTCCAGCCTCCTGAGTGCCATTGCAGAGGTGGGGTCGCAGGAGCTTCTTTCCATACCGCGCAGCCCATTGCACAAGAGAGGGGCACGGCCGGAGTGCCAGCTCCCACTTGGAAGGCGCCGCTTCTCCCCTTCCGTCCTGGCCCATCTAAGGGGAGAAATCGATTGCTCAGTTTTAGTGGGGCTGTTTCTGGTTGGGTTGGATTGGGCAGAAGGAGTTTGTTAATTGTATGTTGCTTTTTTCCTTGAGTATTGTGTTTCCTTCTATGTGTGACATACCTCCATTTGTCTTCCTCCAAGAGTTTATCAGTAGGGTCAAATCCTCTGGAAATTATTTTTCATTAATTGGTTCGGTTTGGGTAGAGCTTTCTTTTGTATGTTGGGACTTGGCTAGACTTGCCTCTAAGTTCCTTACTTTTTCTTCCAGTAGTTTTCATAGTTTACATGGAACATGTATTGCATACCACAATAGTATCAGTCACCTGTTCCATGAGTTTGTTGTTTGAAAATTCCTCTTTTTGGTTGGTGGATGTGCTTTGCTGTTAGCCTTGTTTCTAGGTTCTCTGTTCTAGGTAATTATGCCTATTTTTTTTCTATCCTTTTTTCTGCTTGTTTGTGCTTGTTTTTTGTCTTGTTATTTAGGTATAGATAAAAATATGTAATTATAGGTTCAAAAACAAAGTGTATTGCAACAATAAAAACATAATCCAGTAATACTTTAAGAAAAAAGGCAACTGATTATTGTAAGAGGAAGATTTGAGGGCTGAATTTGAAGGTTTGTTTGCTTTAAAGCAAAGTGTTCATAGGGTTTATTTTTTGTTAAGTTTTTAGACGAAATGTTTAATATGGACAAGTCACATAGAAGGACAAAACCATAAATTAAGTTTCTCTTTCTTGAGTCTCTGTGGATGTTTTTTCTTTACAGTTGACATACAGTTCTAATAAAGAATGAGTAAACTGTTCTAGACTAGGATTACATTAAAAACCAGCCTCTGGTGGAATTCTATGAAGAGATCTTGGGAATGACCTGAATCAACGTTACTAGGGTTGACTTGGACCTCAGCACATTCAGGATCGCCTACTTACTATCTTGTAAGAAATGTTGCAAGACAAGTATCGGACCTCCCCTTTTTCCCAGCGAGTGGTGGTGGATGGGATGTAGTCTAGTGGCAGCGATGGGCGGGGTTCCCCGTGGCTCCCGGCGCAGTTCCAGCCGGAAGGAGCTGCTGGCCGGGCAAAGGCGAGAGAGCGGCTGAGTGATGGCAAATATTGCTGTAGTCATGTCCCACCAGACCGGCATCCAAGGTACTTTACAGTATCTTTTGGGGCAATCTGTGGTTTCGGGTTTCTTCCTTTCTCCTTTTGTTTTCAGATTTCCCGCTGGGGCGTTGAGAGAGCACTAAGACTCCTCCCCGCACCCGATTGGCTCTGCTAGGGGCCACTGTAGCGGGGGGAGACTTCTGGCAATTAGATTTAATCCATTCGTCCAATACACAGACTTGCAGTTTCCATCTGTGGAATTTATGCCTTTATATTTAGAAGAAAGCGAGGCATGCCTCTGAGCATATGTAGAGTGCTTTGCGTTTCTGCTTTGTTTTGTTGATTGAGGGAAGTCTAGATCAGAAACTGAATTCCAGACAAGGGAAGCGGAGACTTGGATGATGGGCTTTCAATGCCCTCTCTTTTCTCAGTTCTTCTCATTGGCTATTGAAGCCATAAAGTGATCGAGTCGTTCCAAAGTTCGTCCAAAAAGGGTTTTGTTATTGTACGTAGTAAACACACAAAACACAGTGTAGCAATGGACTTGCAGAGAGGCTCGTCTCTTAATTGCCATCAGGGTAATGTTGCCAAGGAGATTGAGAGGAGGAGGGAAAAGATTGGAGGCGGCGGCGGCAACGGCTTGCGCTGACCTCTTGGGAGTCGCACCTGCTTGCGGACAAATCGAAGTTTCCGAGCCAAACAATTAGCTCTGGAAACAAATACGTTGGGGATTGTTTTGGACGACGCTTGGTTAAGGTTCAACTTTTGCGGGCTAGCATTTGACTACAGCGCCTTATATGGCAAATGCTAACCTTATCCTCATTTTTTCTCTGTGTGAACAAATTCGAAACATACTCAGCTCCGGGATTTACCATCTGATTGTCCTGCATGGGAAAGAAACCTTGCTGAAATCTTAATTGCAGATAGCTGGTGAGAGGCTGAAACATCAGCTAGCCAGGGGTCTTCAAACTTGGCCCTTTTATGACTTGTGGACTTTAACTCCCAGAATTCCTCAGCCAGGCACACTGGCTGAGGAATTCTGGGAATTGAAGTCCACAAGTCAAAAAAGGGCCAAGTTTGAAGACCCCTGAGCTAGCTAGTCATAATTTAGCTTACTTATGAATCAAGTCTGTGGTCAACTGAGGTCTCCAAATTCTTCAGTTTATCCCCTCCCCTTCATGCAGTTTTTGATTATTCATCGACCCCAAACATTTATTACGTTATGAAAATAATGTAATAAATACTACCAGGGCTTTTTTGGTCATAGAACGCCCAGAACAGAATTCCGGCACCTTTTTTGGATGGAACCTTGTAGGGTAGGCAAGGCAGGTTGTATGACATGTGTGAGTTCCAGCACTTTTTTTTAAGCACTGCATACTACTTTAATAGTACTATTACAAATATTTACTCCTTGGATAGTCTCATCCACCTGAATGGACCACTTTGGGGAGCCCTGGTTTATAACCAAGATGTGAGCAAACATTAGAAAATGGGTTAATTCCATTAACTATAGTTAACAGTTGGTAAGACAGTCAGATTGACAAGGCCAATTGCAGGAATTTAGTAAGGTTTCTTACTATATGAGAAAGGAATAGATAGGCCATGTTTGGAAGAATTCCCCTATTTAGGCTCTTCCAGCAGGGATTGTTAAGTGTTTGTTTGCCTGGGGCTGTTTAGCTTGAGTCAGACTGTTTCTTTGCATTGGGGTTTTTCCTATATTGGTTAATGTATGTTTGATTAAATTGTATTTATTTTGTATTGGGGTGAAGGGGGTCGCTCATCAATTCCCCCATTTTGGGCTATCACTAGTGTTCTAATGATTAGTCCAACTAGTTCTGCACATACCTGATAGTGATGATCAATCTAGCACATCATGAAAGAGGTCTTTTTATCTTGCTTGTTAGTTCTGGTAGGGACCGTGCTGATCTTTAGACATCTTAAGCTAAAGGGATTAATTGGCATAGGCAGCAAAGGATGACTCCACCTACTATGACTGTGATTATGGTTGCAATGAGAAGTTTTAACCAATGAAAGTCTAGTAACCACGAAAAAAGCTAGGAGAAGTCCCAGGATGATTGGTTGTGCCCAATATACTGTGCCAATTCTTTTAGATATTTAATGTCTTGTTCAGTTAGTCCAGATTGGTTGGATAGATTAAAACAGCAAAGTCCCTGGAATTCTTCACAGCCATGATTATGCCTTAATAATAAGTAATCAATAGCTTCTCAATTCTCGAGGGTTGCTTCTCTAACTTGCCATAACTCTTTGTTTAGGGCATCAAGGGCATGGGAGGTAGGGTGCATGCCAAGTTGTTGAGGTTTCTGGAGTTATGTACTGCCAGGCCCAGCATTCCCACTAGTGAGATAGCCAATGCAACATATTCTGCTTTGGTGAGAAGGGATGCTTTTGAATCACAGTCGGGTTCTAAAGTGTGGAAACTTCTCTTTTGTTGCCTATGCAGAGAGGGCATCAACATAGTTAATCGCCCAAGTGTGCACAGTCCTCCTGTAGAGTTAGCTGGTAAGTAAGTGTAAGCCATTTTCCCACAGAGTAAGAACCATCCTGGTGGAAGTTTCATGTGGCTGTAAAAGAAGGTGATAGTTTCAGTATGGTTGCAAATTAACTGTGTTGTTGAGGTTACAGATTTCTGTAAATCTGGATGTGTGGTGCCCTATTAGTTAAAACATGTTGCTGAGTGTGTGAAAGAGTTTCTTTCTGTGACTTTTACTGCTGTGTGAGTTGTCAGCAGGACTTGGTAAGGACCGGTTCACTTAGGTTGCAATGGTGATTTTCTGATGTAGGCCTTTATCCAAATACAGTCTCCTGGCTTGAAAGGATGCAGGTTTTTTTCCAAAGGCAAGGTCTGCTTTAAGGTGCTTTTTTCCCACAACTTCCAGAGCTGTTGCTGTAGGGCTATAAGATAAGACGATAGGACCATCTCCCTTCTCTCTAGGCAAAGGGAGTGTGGGTCCAGACCTTTTAGTATGTCAGGTGGGCAGCCAAACAGTAGTTCAAAGGAGGAGATGCCCAAATCCCATCTTGGCCAGATTCTAAGGTGGAATAAGGCTATAGGTAATACTTGGGGACAGGATAGGTGTGTCTCCTGGCACAGTTTACCCAGGAGGGTCTTTAAGTCTCTGTTCTGGCGTTCTACGCCCGTGATGAGTAAGGGTGTGCCAGTGTGTGTAGTTCCTGTCTGATTCCGAGTGCCTGGAGGACATATGTAACAACTTGTGACACAAAGTGTGTCTCTCTATCCATATCTAAGACAGTTGGGACCCCAAACCTGGGCACTAAGTCTTTTAGGAGGTGTCTGGCTGTCTCCAGGGCTGTAGCATGGTGGCATGGGTATGCTTCTACCCAGTGGGTTAATTGGTCCCTGCACACTAATATATATTGGTAGTTGCTAGCCTTTGAGAGCTGTATGTAGTGCAGCTGAAGTTTTTCAAAGGGGCAGTGAGCCCATGGTCTTTCCCCTTGGTGGATTGCCTTTTTGGAGGATGAATTGTTTGCTTGGCATGTTTGACATCCTCTGGCTATGCGGGTAGCCTCACTGGACATTCCTGGAGCATACTATACCCTCCTTATGGCAACTACCATAGCCTGTGTCCCTCAGTGCCCTTTGGAGTGTAAGTTGGCATATTAGACATAGTAGACGCCTAGGGGCTATGGGTCTACCATCAGGGACCCACCAGAAACCATCATGATAGGTTGCTTCACATTTTGATTTCCTCTGGCTCTAACAAGTCTAGGTATTGTATTTTGTTTTCTAAGTGTGTTGCTAAGAAAGTGGCAGATACTGGCATGGGTTGGGTAGCAGCCCATTTAGCTGTGGCATTGGCGAATTGGTTACCTTTGGTGGTGCTAGACCCATCTCTTTGGTGGGCTCTACAGTGGATGATTGCAAGGCTTGAAGGCAACTGGATGGCTTTGAATAGATCAGATATAAGGTCAGCATGGGCAATTGGTTGGCCATTCAATGTTAAAAAGCCTCTTTGCTTCCACAGAGAACCGGTCGCATGACCAGACTCCAAAAGCATATCTGGAGTCAGTATATACATTGGTAGACCGGTTTTCTGCCATCTTGCACGCTTTTTCAATGCGATTAGCTCAGCTGCTTGTGTGCTATAGTGCAGTTGCAGTGTGGAAGCCCAAACTACTTCATGGAGGGAAACGATGGATGCTCCTGTTACTTGCTTTCCTTCTTGTAAGTAAGAGGAACTATCGGTGAATAGTTCTAATTCTGGGTTTTGTAGAGGGGTGTTGGCCAAATCTGGGTAGGGTAATTCAGCGTCCTGTACCAGGTGTAAGCAGTTGTGCAAGGGTTCAGCTGACAGTTGAGTGGGCAGGAGGATAACTGGGTTTAGGGTACTGCAGCACTCAAAAGAGATGTGCTCCGATGTAAATAACTCTGCTTTGTATTGGGCTAGGCACTGTTGTGTGAATGCTTGTTGTGATTTTAGCAGCATAGCGAGCACATCATGGGGAACTCACAAGATGGGGGAATGACTTAAGACTAAGTCTTTTGATTGCTTAACTAGGTCCACCATTGCAGCCACTGCTCTTAAATGGGGAACAGTTCTTCTTGCTACTGGGTCTAACTGAACAGAGTAATAGGCTACTGGTCTGAGTGTTGGACTGAATCTCTGTGCCAGCACTCCTAAACCCACACACTTACATTCGTGGACAAAAAGGAAAAAGGTTTTTTGTAATCAGGGAGGCCCAGGGCAGGGGCTGAAGCTAGAGTTTGCTTTATTTTTTGGAAGGTGTTAGTTAATTCTTTTGTCCATTCAGTGGGATCTGGTTTATCCTTTGAAGTTAATTGGATCAAAGGTTTTGCCATTTCCCCAAAAGAGGGAATCCAAGGGCAACAGAATCCCAAGACCCCCAATAAGGCTCAAACTTGATGCTTGGTTTGTGGGTGCGTCATCCCTAAAATGGTTTTAACCCTTTCTGGTGCTAACCTCCTAATCCCAGGAGCACTGATATATCCTAAGTAGGTTACTTCCTTTTTTAGGTACTGTAGCTTTCAGGGGGAGGCTTTGTGTCCTCTTTCACTCAAGCACTCTAATAGATGGTAGATGTCAGTCCTGCGACTTTCCAACAATAAATCATCCATGTATTGAATTAAAGTGGAATTGTGTGGCAGGGAAATAGAAGCAACGTCTTTGTTTCTTTTCTTTCTCTCTGTCTTTTTCCACCTCTTTCCTTTCCTTTTCTTTCTCCGCCAATTTTTCCTTATGGTCGAATGCAAAGGTTGCGATTCTGCGCAATTCTGAGATGTCTAATGCCGATCAGTTAGAAACTTATTTTATGAAAATGCCTCTGGATATCATTTGCTTATTGATCAATGAAGGCGGCAGCTAGAATTTTTTGGTCCTTTTGGCAGTTTAAATCTAAATGGGCAAATGCCACTCCAGCCTCTAGGAGGTGAACCCAGAAGGCAGCTGGGGTTTCTTTATCCCTCTGTGTTGTTCGCTGGAATTCGGACCAATTCAGGAGCTTCCTCCCTATCTTCTGGAATGCCTCCATTAAATTGTCCTTAGCCCTTGTATATTCATCCCAGTGGTTCATTTTGTTATAATCCTAGTCTGGGCAGTTCAATGGCCAAGCAATTCTGGCAGGGGCTACTTGCCCCAGCATAATTATTATGGGCCGCCTGGCTATTTCCTCAGTTTTCTCAAAGTGTTTCATTAATTCGTCTTTTGTCAGAAAGATGTGCAGTAATTGGGTGACATCTCCCCATGATGGGTTATGGTTCTCAATCATTTTTTTTTAATTGAAATTTTTTTAAAATTTTACAAAAACAAAACAACCCTTCCCCAAACCTCCCCAACCCTCCCATTCCCTCCCCCAACCTTCCCAGAGCTGAATACAGGCTTAATTGAAATTTCTTCAAAAAATCTTTAAAAAGATATAAACCATGAATAAATCTAAATACTTTAATTGAACAAATTATAAAATAATTAACAATAATATATATATAGAAAAACATAAATACCAAAAGAAAAATGCTTAAAAAAAAGAATAAAAAAAAGAAAAAAGAAAAAGATAAAAGAAAGTATAATAAAAATAAAAAAATAAAAATAAAAAAAGAATAAAATCTATAAAATATTTTAAATTTTAAATATAAGTTATTGAAAAACTAAATAATATTTTTTTATATCCAACTTATATTGTATAAAATCTATCCATTTTTTCCATACCACAAAATACTTCTCTTGCGATGTTATTTGGACTTTAGTTTGAAAGGCTGACCTTTCTTTTTTTTCTTTGTTTTTTTTTGTGTGGAGAGTGAAAGTAAAACGGCGATTTGAAAGTTTTTTTTTTTTCTTTCCGGAAAAAAAGTGAGTGAAACGGAATGTTATGGACTACATGGTTTTCTTTTAAACTTTTTCTGAAGATGGATTTGTGTTTTGGAATGATTTTTTAAACTCTCCTTTGTTTTTTATTTCTTTTTCTCTTTTTGAGGATTTTTTTAATTGTTTTTTTTTAAGAAGGAAGAAAGAAGAAATAAGATTTTTTCTTTTTTTAAAATGGCTTCAAAGAGGCAAGCAGCTTCTACAGTACCCAAGGTGGCTTCTTCTCCTGTGATCCTACCGGCACAACAACCTAAAGCTACACCACCACCTTCTCCTCCTTTGCCAGCAATAATGGTACAAGATATGAAAGACATAATGGGAAGTGCTGTGTCTCAAATCAGAGGGGAAATGAAGGAGCTTTTAGAGCAAATAAAATCCAAATCAGAGGGGAAATGAAGAACCTTTTAGAGCAGAATAACACTATTCTGAGGCAAGACATAGTTATGGCTTTAACAGGACTTGCTTCTGTGGTTGAGAAGTTAGATTCTAGAGTGGAAGAGGTGGCAGACAAGGTGGAAATTTTGGAAGACAAATTTGAAGGTATGGAAAAAAAGATGGAAATTTCACAAGATGATATTGTTATGTCTCAGTACAGAGAGATGGAACATGCTTTAAGAATCAGGGGCCTGAAAGAAGATATGCAGCAAGATCTGAGAGAGATTGTGGTAAATGACTTTGCTGCTATTTTGAATAGAGAGAAAGAGGAAATATTCAGAGAAGTTGAAAAAATTTATAGAGTTAACTCCTGGGCTCTCGATCATTTTTAAGATTGTTATAACCACTTGTGGGTCTGCTCGGAAGGAGGGGGTATCCAAGATGACTAGGTCAGCTGGGGAAAAGGTTATATGGGTTAGGACATATTCAGCTTGGCCCCTCAGAGACCTGGATACAGGCCTGCTCAGCAGAGGGCCCATGATTTTTAGTTTGGGGTTGTCTAGGGTGTCTGAGGTTTGAGTTCAACTTTGTGTCTGGTTTAGGTTTTTTGATCTGGAAAGTTCAGCCGAGCAATACCAGTAAGGTAGCTGAGCCGATTCTATTCTAGACCTAAATGCTTTCAGGGTTTTAAATTAAAATGTGCCGCTTTCTGGCCCAATGTGTTTTCCACATTCATCTCTAAGCAAAGCCCATTTTTTGCATAATTTCTTTATCTGTCTCTTTTTCATGCCTGCCTGAACGGGTAGCCAATACCCGTCCCAGGCTTCAAGCAAGTCCTTTACGGGGGAGTCTATCTCGACCCTTGAACTAGAACATCCCATGATCCCCCTATTTCCAATGTAGGGGTTCACTTCAGCTTAGTCGGGTCTGGCACACTTGAAGCCTCCTTCTACCTACCACCACAGTTTTTGGGTCAAAAAGGGACCCACAGAGGACTCTGGTATCCCTAACAGAGTATGGGTTGCTCCTTCAGGGATTCTCTACCACAGTTTCAAACCAAAAAGGGGCCTGTGAGGACTCTTTTGCTCCCCGCAGAGAGTATGGGTTGCTCCTGTACCATCTTTTCCTTCACAAGCACAATTTGCGGACCTCAAATGTCTGGGAGGATCTCTGCTTGCTTTCAGAAGTATGAGTCGCTCCTAGCCCAGGACTTAATTTTCCTACCTTGGGGATTTGCTTATGAATTACTGGCGGGTGGGCCCGGTCTATCAATTCTGAAGTTTTATTGACACTTTCGTTGCCTGCTCGGCTCCTCTCTCTTTCTCAGAATGTTCCTCGCTCTGGTGGCCCCCTTGTTTTCCCAGGTTCTCCTGGTCATGACTCTAAAAGAGCTAGCAGCAGACCGGGGGGCGGCTAGAGAGCACACAGAGGGAGTGGGATCCAGCTGTTTCACACATACATTCATACGTTTCCTTTCATTCTCTAAGACCCTTTAAATCTAGAAGTTTGAATTTGGCAGTACTCATCCACTTTCCAGGTAGCTGCTTGTGCACAAGTCTCAAAGACTTCCTTTAATACTGGTTGCCGACTGGGCAAGGTCCGTAGAGGCTTCCCCACGGAACAAGGTGTCCGCTGCTGGCTTGGTGATGGCTCTTCCGGGCCCAGTCCAGTGGCTGGGTGAGCTGGAAGTCCCTTCATGGTCGCCAGGAAATTGTTGGGAGGAATTGCCCCATTTAGGCTCTTCCAGCCAGGATTTTCTGCAAATGGCACTAGAAGAATAACTAGAACATGAAGCTAGCTACTGGAAAGAGAGGTTTAATCACAGAGATTAGTGACAATTCAACATGAATCCCTGGCTAGCTAGAAAGAGTGGTCCCCAAGCGTGAGTTTTTATACCTTTTCTTGGTTTTCAAAACTGTCATTTCGTGGCTTTAAAATTGTCATTCCTGATTTGTGGAGCAGTGTCTATTGATGTGTTAATTTATCAGATATTGCTCAGGAAAAGGTTAATCCTTGCCTCAGGAGAGGATATGATTTGTTCCTATTTATTATCTATTCCTTATTATTATGTCCCTGTCTTAATCCTGTCAGTCTTAATTGTTGATAGCCAGTCTCGCATTCCAGCATTTCAGCTTATCTTAAATGTTTTAAATTGTTACTTTGTATCTGTTGTGTTAAGTGTTTGTTTGCCTGGGGCTGTTTAGCTTGAGTCAAACTGTTTCTTTGCATTGGGGTTTTTCTATATTGGTTAATGCATGTTTGATTAAATCATATTTATTTTTTATTTGGGTGAAGGGGGGTCTCTCATCAACCATAATGGAAAAATCCATTGAATTAATTGTTATTATGTATAAATGGAAAATTCCAACCAAAATAGAAAAATGAGGGTTGGCAAACAATCCTGTCTTAAACATGCATTTTGTGATTCTCATCTGGAGAATGTGTTTTAGCTATGAGGAGTAGGGATGATATACCAGAGGGATAAATAGATAAGCAAACAAATCTGCAAACCAAAGTTAGCAATTTTTGCTGTCTACAATTAAGGACATCTTCTGGAAACTGAGTAAGGATTTGGGACTTTTAATGGGGCTTCCTGGAAAAACAAATTATTTCCCCTGCTCTTTGGTCTTTCTTGAAGAAAGGGGGAATTCCTTCCAGACTGTGTTCAGGCTTCAGCTGCTTTCTAAAACTGCTTCTGCTATTGCTTTTCACCAGGCCTGTAGAAAAATAGATCAGATTGGGTTGCACTGATTGTAACTTAGTAGCATTCATGTGATTATTTCTATGCTAATTTCTGCAGGAAAATGTGCTTTTGTCTTGCTATGTTGATTTATTGTCAATGCCAGCAGCTGAAGGCACAGCACACAATGCTGTGTGGATTTCATTTATTACATGTACAGATAAATTATACAACATAAAATGAAATTTCGGATTATGTTAGTTTATTTATTTTGTATTTATGAGTTGAAAAGGACCTCAATTGTAGTATAAAAGTATCTAATGGTACTGGTCACGTGAAATATATATTTCAGTCATAACTGATATAGTAAATGGTTAGCTTTAAACCAAACTGAATGACTAAAATCCATTGTTCTTCTTGTTTTTTCTTTTTTTCAGCTAGTGAAGAAGTCAAAGAAATCTTTGCCAGAGCTAGGAATGGCCAATACAGGTTTTTAAAAATAGTTATTGAAAATGGTACGTGTCAGTTCCCTTTCTGATACTTTCTCATGGTGTTGCTTGGATGAATAAGGGAAAATCAATAAAGTGATGGATGACTGTTTTTTTTCTGAGCCCTTGGAACTAGGCAGTGCTTGTCAATAGAAATTGCCTATGTCCTAGGTCACAGTCGGCAACCTGCGGCTCCGGAGCCGCATGCGGCTCTTTGAGCCTTCCCCTGTGGCTCCCAGCCTCCTCTGCCTTTGCAGAGAGAGACAGAGAGAGGCAACTGCGCTTCCCTGCTTCAATCTCTGTGTGTGTGTGTGTGTGTGTTTTGTGTGTGTGTGTGTGTGTGTGTGTAAAAGAGAGTGTACTCACATGTTCTCCGAGGAGCTGAAAAGCTTACTGGGCGGAGCTCCTCCCTTTGCTGCGTCTCTGCAGGAAGCAGGAAGCAGGAAGGGCAGGAGAGAGCTAGCTAGCCCAGCTAGGCTGACTCAGGAATTCTGGGAGTTGAAGTCCATGAGTCATAAAAGAGACGAGGTTGCCTACCCCTGATCTTGTTGGACAACAGCTTGAAGCTTGCCAGGTGAGCAGCAGATAGGAGAGGGGGGGAGAAAGAGAGAGAGAGAAAGAGAGAGAGGGAGGGAGGGAGAGAGAGAGGAGAGAGAGAGAGAGAGAGAAAGAGAGTGGGGGAAGAGGAGTGGTAGACCAAGGGCAGATAGAGAGGGAGGGAGACAGAGAGAGAGAGAGACCCTTTTGACATCTAAAATGAAGATAACACTGCATATATCCTTTTTTTAACCTGTGTGTGTATGTGTGTGTGTGTGTGTGTATGTATGTATGTATATATATATATATACACATACATACATACATATACATATACACACACACACACACACACAAATACCCCCCCCACACAAACACACACACCTATAATAAAGGTAAAAAAGGATATATGCAGTGTTATCTTCATTTTAGATATCAAAAGGGTTTTGCGGCTCCAGTGTTTTGTTTTTGGTGGGAAACGGGTCCAAGTGGCTCTTTAAGTGTTTTGGGTTGCCTACCCCTGTCCTAGGTGATGTTTTGCTTAAGTCAGCTTGACTCCTGGTGATAAGCTCCAACTGTGAAAGGGTGGACTAGAAGACCTTTAAGCTCCCTTTGAACTCTATGGTTTTATCACTAGTGACATATTTGCATCAGGATTTTTCAAACTATGTTTCACCACAGTGGTGCCCATTCTTTCTGATCTGGTGGACCAGGAGAGGGGATAGTTCCATGTCAGTGGCAGAATTGTATGAAAGTGCATGCAGTTCCATTTGCGCAAGCATGTGCACTTGCCACTTGTAGAAATGGAGCTTTGTGCATGAGCACCCACTATTCACGCATGTGGAGCTGCCCACATATGAGCGCCCTTGTGTCCACTGCACACACAAGTGGAATTACACATGCAAAAGCATCCTCTGCTTGCACAGCCCAGTTCTGGGCGATGGCCCAGGGGTTGGGGACCCATTCAACAGAATGTTAAGTTTCACAAGAACCTGAGAGATTTCATGAAAGGCTAAGGGCAAAAAAAGGGAGGAAGGGTCTTCAACAGAACTTATCTTCTGTCGCTAGAGCTTTACCTTTGGATCAAGAGTTCTGAGATTTATTTTTTTTAACTAGCAGGTTCCATATCTTGAACTAGTTTAAAAATTCCTGATCTGTGTTGCTTTTTTTAGCAACAGCATTTAGGTTTTTCACTGCACTTTGTAACTTCCCAATCTAGACTACAGATTTAGGAACTTGCATTTTATTTTAAGTGAATTGTTATCTTCAAAGAGAGTGATAGAAGGAGGGCAGAACCAGAAAAAGAAGAAGAGCCAGTTTGGTGTAATGATTAAGGTGGTAGCCTAAAAACTTCTAGTCTTGCCATAGGCACGAAAGCTGGTTAGGTGATTTGGGCCAGTCACTTTCTCTCAGTTGACCCCCTTTAACAGGGTTGTTGTTTTGGTGAAAATAGGAGGAAGGGGAATTATGTATGATCACTGCCTTGAGTTACTTATAAAGTAATAAAGGCTGGATAACAATACAATTAATTATATTGTATATTCAGTAATTAATAAATAGCATTGTCCCTGTGTCTTCTGCAATTTTTAGTTCCAAGGCAATAAAATAGCAGTTCATATGACACATTAACCAACCATATTTTAGTTTAAGGTATATAAGTAGTGCAATTGGTTGAGTAAAGCCAGTTAGGCTACTTGTAAATCTTGGCTAAGATAGTAGTGTTTCATTCCAATATAGGCACAATTCTGAACTGTACATTCTTTTAAATCTTTTCTGTTGTCTTATTGTCACATTTCAAAAGGGGCTAGAGATTGAAGTCTCTTATCTGCCTTAATTGCCTTTTGTAAGGAATTCTGAATAGCTATATTTTGGTTTTAATGAATTCAGCATAACTCCTGGATATTTTTCCTGGCCTGATGCCTTTCAAATATGTTGGGAATGATAGATGCCAACTACAGTAGATGTTTCAGTAGTCTTCTGGGAAACATAAATATGTTTATTTAATGTAAATGTTGCTGCCATTAATAGTTTGTCATTCATATTTAATGTATTTTTACAGAGCAGCTTGCTGTGGGACGTGCCAAGCAACCTGGTTCAACCTGGGAAAAGGATTATGATTCCTTTATTCTCCCTCTGCTTGAAGAAAGACAATCATGTTATCTCCTGTACAGATTAGATTCTCACAATGCCCAAGGATATGAATGGATCTTTATTGCATGGTCACCAGATCATTCTCCTGTATGTAACAGAATTAAATTGATGACAACAAACTATACATTAAACTCTTTTAAACATATCTTTTACTGCAAATTAGTATTTGGTTATTCCTATACTTCACAGATCCATGTGCTTGTCTTCCACTTTCTCACCCTTAAGTCATGTCTTTTTTGGCTAACAGGCACCCATTGGAAAGGATAGTACTAATTAAAACAGAAATAAATGCACATCTGTTCATGTGATTTTTTTTATAATGATATTTGTTTCACTAGACCAGGGGTAGGCAACCCAAAACACTTAAAGAGCCACTTGGACCCGTTTCCCACCAAAAACAAAACACTGGGAGCCGCAAAACCCTTTTGATATCTAAAATGAAGATAACACTGCATATATCCTTTTTTACCTTTATTATAGGTAGGTGTGTGTGTGTGTGTGTGTGTGTGTATGTATATATGTATGTATGTATGTATGTGTGTGTGTATACACACACACACACACACACACACACACAGGTAAAAAAGGATATATGCAGTGTTATCTTCATTTTAGATGTCAAAAGGGTCTCTCTCTCTCTCCCTCTCTATCTGCCCTTGGTCTGCCACTCCTCTTCCCCCGCTCTCTTTCTCTCTCTCTCTCTCTCTCTCTCCTCCCTCTCTCTCTCTCTTTCTCCCCCCCTCTCCTATCTGCTGCTCACCTGGCAAGCTTCAAGCTGTTGTCCAACAAGCTCAGGGGTAGGCAACCTCATCTCTTTTATGACTCATGGACTTCAACTCCCAGAATTCCTGAGTCAGCCTAGCTGGGCTAGCTAGCTCTCTCCTGCCCTTCCTGCTTCCTGCTTCCTGCAGAGATGCAGCAAAGGGAGGAGCTCCGCCCAGTAAGCTTTTCAGCTCCTCGGAGAACACTGTGAGTGCACTCTCTTTTACACATACACACACACACACAGAGAGAGAGAGAGAGAGAGAGAGAGAGAGAGAGAGAGAGAGAGAGAGAGAGAGAGAGAAGCAGGGAAGTGCAATTGCCTCTCTCTGTCTCTGTCTTTCTCAGCAAAGCTGGGAGCCACAGGGGAAGGCTCAAAGAGCCGCATGCGGCTCCGGAGCCGCAGTTTGCCGACCTGTGCACTAGACCTAGCATTCTGATATGCCTCCAGATGTTTTGGACTTTAATTCTGAAGTGCTGTTGTCAGCATAGCCAGTGCCAATGAATTCTATAACTAATAATTCATCAATTTGTGAAGAACAATGATTTTTATTCTTACTTTACGAGGAGCCGTTCCATTTGACCTATTAGTGACTTTCAGCCCTCCCAGGTAGACCAGACAGATGAACTAATTCTAGTTTATTGTAAAGTCACATTAACAGAATCTTGCAAGCTTGAAAGTATAAATCTCCTGCTGTCTTTCTTACAGTCTGAGAACTGGGAGGGGGTCTCTTATGAGCCTCTTTCTTTGCCTATTATACAGCTGTGGGCTATGTTGTCTATCTGACCATTTCCTAGGGAGCATCTCTCCCCTCCCTCCCATTTTCCCATACAATTACATTGATTTGTTTCAAGTATGAAAATATGAAATCTATCTGGGATTGATAGTTTTCCAGCTATTTTGCATTATAATTTCCAGCAAGATCAGTAACTAAAGAATGTAGAACCAAATGGGGAGCACCTGATTGCCTATTGTTAGAGAATGTTAATTTCTCTAATTGGTGAAAAATAAATCAGAAGCTCTTACAGTTGACTGCATTTAGCTGATTCAAATAACTTTATATTTATATAAAAATATTTACAATACCATTCTTCTTTACAGCAACATAATGAAGGCTTCTTACAGAGACAGACCAGATACAGACATGAGACTGGAAATCCAGCTCCTAACTCAATACTCTTTTTGCACAGACTCAGTAGCACTTTCTTCCCATTGGCTGACTTCCTGTTCATGAATATTCCAACACTCCTCCCTTCATGACAGGAAGAGACATCAGACCTATTTAATACATTCTTTAATAGTGAAAAAACCTTGTGCCACTAACCTGGCCTTATACTGTACATCATTATTTGGCAATACCTTTTTCTTATATACCCACTTACAACCCACAGCTTTTGTTTCCTGTGGCAAAGTCACTGATTTAAATACTTCATGGTCTCCCATGGATTTCATCTCTTTATCCATGGCCTCCTTCCATTTTTCTTGTTCAGCTTTTAGTAATGCCAAAACCTCTTTATAACTTCTTGGCTCATACCACACATTACAAACCTTTACCTTGCTGGCAGAATACCTGTCAGGCGGAATTCCTTTATTACATCGCTCTGACCTACGTGGTATTAACTGCTCCTGTGTCTCAAGTCTTTCTGGTTTCATGTCTTGTTCAGCATCTCCTCCCTGAACATGGACATCTTCAATCATCATTTTTTTATCATTAGATGAGTTATTGTCACTAAACAGATCACTGTCATTAAGTGAGACATACCCAGAATTTGCATTAATTCTGTCCCAATTTTGTTCTGCAAAATTAGCAGACCTTGAAATTACAATTCTTTTACTTCCATCGCTAAAGCGATATCCTTTTGACCCTGGCTCATAGCCCACAAACCTGAGCTTTCTTGCCTTTTGCTGTCCCTTTCTTCTGATTGCTTTCGGAATATGTACCCATGCAGTACTTCCAAAAATTCTCAAATGTGCCAGTGATGGCTTTCTCCCATATAGAATGGCATATGGAGTATTATTAATGAAGGAACTGCACACCCTGTTAACTATATAATTTGCAGTCAATATGGCTTCTCCCCAATATGACCTGTTCATACCAGAATCCTCTAACAATGAATCTTTCATTGTTTGCAAAACACCATTCCTTCTTTCAGCTACACCATTCTCTGCTGCTGTGTAAGGATTTATACGTCTGTGTCTTATCCCCAACTATTGGAATTTAGTTGACATAAATTCAGTACCTCTGTCAGTTTGCAACTGACACACTTGTTGTCTGTACCTTCTCTCTAAAAACGTACCCACTGTTTGAATTGTTGTAGCACCTCTGACTTTGCTCTAAGCAAGTAGCAAAATGAATACCTGCTATAATCATCAACAATTACCAGTGCATATTTTGCTCCTCCCAAACTGGCTTGCATAGGTCCCACCAGATCTGCATGGACCAGCTCTAGAACTCTTTTTTGTTTGTCTTGTGCTATATTTACTAACTGGGAATGCCTTTGACTTCGATGCTTTGCATAATGCAGTCCAAATATGTTTTGCATCCCTTTAAATTTAGCCCTTCTGCAAAATCTTGCATTTGCTGCAAAACTTTAAAGCTTGCATGGCCAAGTCTTCTATGTAGAAGATGGACACATGAATCATGCTCTGCAACATTCTTAAATATATGGGAACATTGAAACTTTTGTTCCTGCAATACATATAGATTATCTTCCTTTATGCCTTCTGCACAAATATTCCCATTCCTTTTGATGAGACATTTCCCATTTGCAAAAATGACCTCAAACCCTTGTTTATCTAAATTAGACACACTTAACAAATTATGTTCCATCTCAGGTACACAAAGCACATTGGTAAACTTGGATTCCAAATATGGAATTTTTACATCGCCTCTTCCAATGACTTTTGCTTTCTGGCCATTTGCCAAAGCCACAGCTTTGGAACAAACCTGCAAAATAATTCAGAGTCATTAACTATTGTTTGACTTGCCCCACTATCTATTAGCCACTTGTCTCTGTTGTTGCTATTGCAAACTTTTGCAACACCAAAATGTTCTTTTTGCAAAACAGTCCTTTTTCCTTGCACAAATGTCTTTTTCTGCAAATTGTTCCTCTGCAAACAGTTCCTTTGCAGATGTTTGTTTGCTCCACAAATGTAGCAAGTCTTTTCCTGCCGAGCAGCTCTCTGCTTGCAAAATCTCTCCTTTGTTGCAATTTGGTCTGGGTCCGATCTGCTTGTTTCTTCTCCTCTGGAGACTTGCAGACTGGACCCCCTCCTCAGGAATTATTCCTCCTCGTGGCTGCTTCTAAAATGGCGTTTTTCTTCTTCATTAAGCAAACATGCCTTTAAAGCCTCAAAATTTAAGTCTTGCTCTTCTTTGCACTCAAATATTGCAGAAACTGTGTCCCAGGTTTTATCTAAACTGTTCAACACCAATAAAACCTTCTGGGACTCAGGGAATTTAATCCCACGTTGTTCTAAGTCCAAAAATAAACTTTGCATTTTATTTAAATGCTGTTCCACAGATTCACCTGGTTGCAAACAGGCCCTGTAGAGTTTTCTTGACAATTGCACTATATTGCATGCAGAAACATTCACGTACACAGCTCTCAACTTCAACCAAATCTCCTTTGCAGTCTTTAAATTTGCAACATTTAGAAATTGATCATCATCTAAATTCAAGATGAGATAAGCTATTGCTTGATCATGGCTTTTCTGATCTGCAGCTGTAAATACTTGTGGTGGATTTTCAACAATATACCACAGCTCTTTAGCTTTCAGCAAACATTCCATTTTTGCAGCCCACACTGCCCACACTGCCCACACTTCTGGCCCAAACAAGGCACACAGCTTTCCTTAAATTTCATTGCAGCCATTCTGCTAATTCTACCTTGTTCTTATACTTTCTAAACACAGGCAATTTCTTCCAGCTTTAAATTACAATGCAGTCTTTAGTAAGCTCTGGGCCCATAACCTATTAGAGAATTTTAATTTCTCTATTGGTGAAAAATAAATCAGAAGCTCTCACAGTTGACTGCATTTAGCTGATTTTATATTTATATAAAAATATTTACAATACCATTCTTCTTTACAGCAACATAGGTTGATGAAGACTTCTTACAGAGACAGATCAGAGACAAAACTTGAGACTGGAAATCCAGCTCCTAACTCAATACTCTTTTGCACAGACTCAGTAGCTCTTTCTTCACATTGGCTGACTGAGTTACCATATGACTCTTCCTGTTCATGAATATTCCAACAAAAAATTAAAATTCTTCTAAGATCTGTACATACAGTTTAAGACCTCTCAGAACTAGAGCGTTTTCCTCAAAACAGATCCCAGCATCAAATACTTAAACTTTCTTTCCCAAATCTGTCACTTCACATCCAGGTATTCTTGACCTTTACTTAGTTCAAATGGTAAGGATAACAATCCTTGAGTTAATACTATAATCCTTATAATAAACTATTGCTAGGATATTTTTGAGATAATCCACAAATAACAAAGCTCTCTCCTACTTTAGCATCAAACCTACAATGAAACTTTTGCTAGGCTAAAATGAAGCAAATAAAGACAGTTTCCTCCCAGCTATCCATTCAAAGCAAATCTTCCAATACTGATAGTCTTGATAGCTTCTCCAGCCTCACCCCATTTTTTTTCATTCTTAGCAATCAGAAATGTACATAAGATTATAGTAAAAACCGATTTTTAATAATAAAACTCTAAAGGCGAAATTAATTTAGGATATATTCAGTTTAAAGAAATTTGCTAAGGGAAAACAAGCATACTAGAAAAAAGAATTTTTTTTTTAACATAAATTGTATTTGGTTTAGAATATACAATAGAAACACACATGATTTAAAAAGACAAGATAATGTGATCTTTGTTGCACATTTTTATCACTATATTGTAGAGCCTAATTTATGAATAGATAATAAAAGGGCCACAAACCTTATTGTGTTCATTTAAAAAAACACTGAATAACAATCATAAAGGGACAGAAATATTTAAGTTAGGATATAAAAACAGGTTTGTTGTTTAAACACCAACTGACTTCATTCGATCAACATTTCTTTTAAATGTTCTTTGACCTGAAACAGAAGGAATATAAAATTCATGCTGGCAAAATTCAAAGTAAGTGTGTGTGTGTATGTATGTATGTATGTATGCATGCATGCATGCAGTGGTGGGATTTAGCCAGTTTGTACCACTTCGGTAGAACTGGTAGCTAATTTTTTGTTGACTTCGGCAAACCGGCTGATGCCCTAGCCCAGGGGTCGGCAACCTTAAACACTCAAAGAGCTATTTGGACACGTTACCCAGAGAAAAGAAAACACTGGGAGCCACAAAACTTGTGTGTGTGTGCGAGCGCGCATACGCAAGGGAAGGAGCTTGATTGAAGAATTTAATTAAAAAGAAATAGAGGCTGCTGTGCATGGGTTCTCTCTCTCTCTCTCCCTCCCTCCCTCCCTGTCTCCGATCTTCTGCTCATGTGGCAAGCTGGCTTCATATTGTTCCCCAATAAGCTTGTCAGCTTGTCCGAGAACAGTGTGAGGCCACTCTCTTTTTTACACAAACACAGAGAGAGACAGAGAGAGAGAGAGAGAGAGACAGACAGACAGAAGGGGAGGGGAGGATGCCTCTCTCTGTCTCTCTCTCTCTCTCTGCAAATGGCAGAGGAGGCTGGGAGGTGCAGAAGAAGGCTCAAAGAGCTACATGCGGTTCCAGAGCTGCGGGTTGCTGACCCGTGCCCTAGCCCTTCTTCACAAGGCCTAGAACGGACCACTGGAAGTGCATGGACACCATTTCTGGAAGTCCGTTCTGAGCCAGGGTGGCCTTCCAGGCCCAGAACAGCCCATCAGAAGTGCATGGACGCCACCTCTGGAAGTTCATTCTGAGCCGGGGAAGCTTCCCAGGCCCAGAATGGACTGCCGGAAGTGCGGGGACGCAGACAACCGATTGTTCAGGTATTTGAATCCCACCACTGTATGTATGTATGTACTTTTGAATTGCATATATATAGCATCACTATATTTAAAATTGATACCCTTTCAATATCTGGCCTCCGGTTCTTCTTCTCATGCAGACACTGTGAAGCAATTGAATACATCTGTTCAATTGAGGTGATGTTCCTGTTGCTGATTTTTTTATCAACATAATGTCCAATAGTCTTTTCTTCATCTTCAATTTCCTCCTTGATGGACAGCTGAATGGAGCAGCAAAAGTATTAAAATAATATTAATAATAATATTACTTCACAATATAGAAATTCCATAGGGAAGAAAAACAGATTGTTCTTGTGAATTGATTAAAAGGAATAAAGCAAGCTGTGATTGTATGGTGGGATGGGGCAATGGGAGAGGTTATTTGTTTGTATCACCCTACCTAGAGATCATCTTGTACATTCATTCCAAGAGGAGCTGTTGAGTGCCTTACCCTATGAGGTTAAAGGAGTAGGAATCCTTATATTATAGAATGTAAATAAATAACACATTTTTCAGATTTCCATGTTATGTTTTGCTTAGATCTTGGTAAAACCTTTTCTGTCCTGTTTTCACAATGTTACAGGTTCCCATCTTCTGGAGGAATATTTTGAAGTTAAATGGACAGTTATATATATTTCAATAACATTAAACATTTGCTTTAATATTGAACTTGAATATTTTTATGTTACTTAACATCTTGATAATTTTATTGATAAGAAATTACTATCTCCAATTAAGATAATGTCCAGTTTCCTTGTTTCATATGTCATACTTCTTTCTTCAATTTCCAGTTTCAAGAAACCTTTTTTTATTGAAAGTTTTTAAAATTTTACAATAAAATACTCCCCCACCCCCGCTTCCCAGAGCTGAATACAGTGTTAAAGACAACAAAAAACATACAACTTAGATGAACATCAAACAATTATACATACATCCAAAAAAACAAAATTTAAATACTTTAACTCCAATACATAAAAGCAAAAATTCTAACCATTACCCTTAAACATAAATTATTCAAAAGCTAAATAATATTTTCTAATCTCAAATTTATTCTGTATAAAATTCACCCATTTTTTCCACACCAAAATATATTTCTCTTGCGATTGATCTTTCAAATAAGCCGAAATTTTTGCCATTTCAGATAAATAAGAAACTTTAAGAAACCATTCTTCTAAAGTAGGCAAAGAGTCCTTCTTCCAATATTGCCTAATCAGCAACCTTGCCGCTGTAATTAAATTCAACATTAGAATAATTTCTTTAGCATCACAATCAACAATAATGCCTTGGATTGGATTCAGAAACAGAATTAGTTAAAGATTGTATAGTTAAATGGGCTCAAAATTTTGAAGAGCCGATTTTATTAGATACATGGGAGATAATCTGGGTGAGGAATGTTAAATTTACTCAGCCTCAAAATTTACGAGAAAATTTTTATAAAATGTTTTATAGATGGCACCTCGATCCACAAAAGATGTCTCGTATGTATTCAAATGTGCAGCCTAAATGTTGGAGATGTGGTTGTTTGGATGCAACCTATTATCAAATTTGGTGGTCATGTAGAAATATAAAAGCTTTCTGGATTAAGATTTGGTGGAACATTCAGAAGATTTTTAATAGAAGGATAAAATTTACGCCAGAATTGTTTTTGTTAGGCAGTTTCAAGAAACTTTTATTCTACTTTTCCATGACTTGACACTTCTGCTATTACCAAAGAATCAACAGAAACACACAGCCACATTGGTTCTTATACTGATCTAACTTTAAAATAAACCAGCATAAGGGCAAAGTATTTTTTTTAATTCCCCAATATTGACATTACAAATCTTTGATGTTCATTTCAATGATTACTCTGAATCCCTGTTTTAACTACAACTTCTTAAATAAGCCACAAGCAAATCATATTACAACTTAGGGCAATATGTGAAATTGGGAAACATTAGCTTCTACCAGAATCTCCAAACCCACTGAAACAGTAGACCACTTGTGTCCTCCAAAGATGCTGAACGTCAGCTGGCATAGGCATAGCACTGAAACTGACACATAAATCTGTATGTACTGTATGTATGTGATGTGTGTGCATGTATATGTATATATATATATATCTACATACTGAGAAAAAATATTAGATCACCTGCTGATTTTGTATGTTTGCCCACTGATAAAGAAATGATCAATCTATAATTTTAATGGTAGGTTTATTTTAACAGTGAGAGACAGAATTACAATAAAAAAATCCAGAAAAACACATTTCCAAAAGTTATAAATTGATTTGCATTTTAATGAGTGAAATAAGTATTTGATCCCCTATCAATCAGCAAGATTTCTGGCTCCCAGGTGTCTTTTATGCAGGTAATGAGCTGAGGTTAGGAGCATTCTCTTAAAGGGAGTGCTCCTAATCTCAGCTTGCTACCTGTATAAAAGACGCTTGTCCATAGAAGCAATCAATCAGATTCCAAACTCTCCACTATAGCCAAGACCAAAGAGACATCCAAGGATGTCAGGGACAAGATTGTATACCTACACAAGGCTGGAATGGGGTACAAGATCATCGCCAAGCAACTTGGTTAGAAGGTGACAACAGTTGGTGTGATTATTCGCAAATGGAAGAAACTCAAAATAACTGTCAATCTCCCACAGTCTGGGGCTCCATACAAAATCTCATTTCATGGAATTTCAATGATCATGAAAACCATGAGGAATCAGCTCAGAACTACATGGGAGGATCTTGTCAATGATCTCAAGGCAGCTGGGACTATAGTCACCAAGAAAGCAACTGGTAACACACTACGCCGTGAAGGACTGAAATCCTGCAGTGCCTGCAAGATCCCCCTGCTCAAGAAAGCACATGTATGGGTCCGTTTGAAGTTTGCCAATGAACATCTGAATGATTCAGAGGAAAACTGGGTGAAAGTGTTATGGTCAGATGAGACCAAAATCAAGCTCGTGTTTGGAGGAGAAGCAATGCTGCTTATGACCCCAAGAACACCATCCTCACTGTCAAACATGGAGGTGGAAACATTATGCTGTAGGGGTGTTTTTCTGCTAAGGGGATAGGACAATTTCACTGCATCAAAGGGACGATGGACAGGGCCATGTACCGTCAGCCTGAGCATTAAAATTGGGTCGTGAGTAGTTATTCCAGCATGGCAATGACCCAAAACACCTGGCCAAAGCAACAAAGGAGAAGAAGAAGCACATTAAGGTCCTGGAGTGGCCTAACTAGTCTCCACACCTTAATCCCATAGAAAATATGTGGAGGGAGCTGAAGGTTCGAGCTGCCAAATGTCAGCCTTGAAACCTTAATGACTTGGATAGGATCTGCAAAGAGGAGTGGGACAAAATCCCTCCTGAGATATGTGCAAACCTGGTCACCAACTACCTCTGTGACTGCCAACAAGGGTTTTGCCACCAAGTACTAAGTCATGTTTTGCGAAAGGGTCAAATATCTATTTCACTCGTTAAAATGCAAATTAATTTATAACTTTTTTAAAATGCATTTTTCTGGGGTTTTTTGTTGTTATTCTGTCTCTCACTGTTAAAATATGTCAGAATCCAATTATATTTCATCTTTAGTTATCAAATATAGAAAACCCCAATTCTGCCTTCTCTGGATTCTGCCATAAGAGGGAGAGAAGGGGGAGAACAAAGGGGCTTTATGGCCCTCACTTCCTTCAGTATACTTCTAAGGAACTGAATGTGTGTATTGCAACTTCAAAGCGTTTGAATGTGGTTAGCAACAAAAGGCTCATCATAACAAAGGAGGCTATTTACCTTTCATGTAGTTTATTTGAAGTCTCCATCCAGACGGAAGAGGGGTGGGATTGTGATGCCTGAAACTGTCACTGGAAGAGGGGGGTGATTGGGTGGGACTACTGGGGAATCCCTTAAAGCCTCGCTGGTCAATGGGCGTTGGAAAGAAAAGTGAGTGGGGAAAGGAATCAAGAAAGGTGACCCTGAGACGGGGGACCAAGCAACCAGAATGGAAGCAGGAGATGGAGAAATCCCTGCACGCAAGTGAAGAGGGAGAAAGCTGGGAACCATACTCAGACTGGATCCTAGAGAAAGCTATTGACCTGATGAAGAGAACTCTCAGCTCCCTAAGAGAGGAGAATCCTGAGCTCTACGGCCGCCCCAGCTCCTGGAGCCGCAAAGGGAGAGACACCGAGGGGGACGTGGAACCTGCAACCCCGGGGACATCTACTGATCCAGTAGTCCCCACCCCCTACCGGACCACAGATGGCAATCTGGACGGAAGACACTACCACCAACAACGGAGGCACCAATCCATTCCAAGACGTCCGCCATTGGAAGTGAAATTCAAAGGGGAGCCAACACACTTGGGGTTTTTCCTAACCCAAGTCCTCAGCTACATGGAGGAATACGGGCAGGACATTCCCAGCGACAAAGCCCGCATCTGGATCGTGCAATCTGCCCTGGATGGACCGGCTGCAGATTGGGTGGTGAACTTGCATGACTCCAATGCCCCAGAACTCAGTAACTTCAACCGTTTCATGTCCTCTTTGAGAAGGCGATTTGAAGACCCCCTGGCTGATTGCAAAGCCCGTGAAAGGATAAAAATGATGAGGCAAGGCAAACGCCCAGTGGCTGAATATACCCAAGAATTCCGGGCCATTGCCAGCAAACTGAATTGGCCAGAAGACATCCTCCTTAGCCATTTCAAAGACGGACTAAATTATGATCTATATGATGCCTGCCTGCCCCGAGGGGACCCACACCAACTTGAGGAATGGTACATCTTCACAGAGGAAGCAGAGATCGACATATTGAAGAGACACCGCCGAGGAAAACAATGGAGCCGCCCCCCGCCTGAGCTAACACATGAACTGGTGAAATCATCGGCTACAGCCAAGAAGCAAATGGGGTGTTTCAAGTGCGGAAGAGAAGGGCATCGAGCTGTAGAATGCTGCTCCAAAGCCCCCCAGCACAACCCAGACAGATCCCCAATCAACAAATCCGGAAAGTCTTCAGCTAAGCCAAAAGAAACGGCCACGAGAATGATGGAAATTGCAGAACCCCCCACTTCTGCTCACCAAGGGGAAAGAACTCCAGCCTACACCACAGGGACGGTGGATGCCTCAGATGACAGCTCGGAGGGCGAACCCCTGGTAAGTGGATGCATCACACCCATCTTCAAAACAGTGACTATATTAATCACCCCCATGCCCGAAGCTGTGAAGGTGAAAGCCTTAATAGACTCTGG